ATTAAATACTTGTATTAAATTTTATTAAATATTAACCATCTTTGATCTGAGCACCCTGTCCAAAAAGTCAAAACTGCCCTTCATTGACAATCCATCATCCATGGATGACCCCATCTTTAGAAGCACTACTAAACTAAATGTCATTTCAATATCATCTATACCATTTTTTTTTAATTATTTTTTGAGTTTTAATTGTCATAGTTTTTTTTTTTTTTTTATCATCTTTGGTTTATTAAGATTGAAGCATTTATGAAAAAATTATCTCTAATAATTTATTTTTAAATTTTGAATCTTTAACAGTAATTTTAAATTTAGAAGTAGTAGTATGTGCACAAGCTTTCAAGAAATTTCGCGAAATAAGGAAGAAAAAAAAATTCATAGATGTGAAATTGCGAAAGGAATTTTATAGTAGCCGTGAGGTGGGAACTATCACTTGTGGTTTCGTTGGCAAGCACTTAGATTAAAAAAAAACATCAATGTATCTAAACTGAAGATTTGCTTATTATCTTAAAGTAGGTTTCCCACATTTAAAAATTCTGCAACAAATACAATTGGTCTCAATTTGAGTAAGCATGATGAAGGTGTAGAGAATCCTTGACTTTATCAAAGCACTTAATTAATTAAGAAGATAAACTATATACAGGTAATGTTAGGAAAAAAAGGATGGAGAGAGTTCCCTCGTAAGCTTTTTAAAAGCATATACAGCAATAGAGTCATCTTCAATGATTTCCTTACTTTAAAAAGTTGCAATTATAATTTTCAAAAAAAAAAAAAAAAAGATGAAAGCAAGTGGCCATATTGCAATTGCTCTTATTTTGGATGACCAAGCATGTATATATATTAAATAAACATAACTAGAACAATGACATGTGAAGTACAAAAATTATTGCTTTAGCTTGAAAACATGAATTATTTAAATTAAATATTAAGTTATGGACTCAATCCGAACCAAAATGAAAACTTTATGTTACTTCAAGAATAATTATCAATACTTTATTTGTAAGACTGTGATAGATACAAATAGAAAGAAAAAGAAAAGTTTATATGAATTTTTTTATATAATTTTTTATAGGATTCGATGTGATTTTTTTTTAATATATCTATTTTTTCTTTTAAAAATAAATTAATAAAATAACTATTGTATACTTATAATAATTAATCCTTGAGCCTTTTAAAATTTCTCAAATTATAAGCAATGGTTTTACAAATTGTTAACTGCCTGCAATGCATGAATGGTCTACAAATTATGCCTAGCAGACTGCTTTAGAATTCGTTCACATGATGTGTCTGGTGCAATGTTACCATAACCAAATCCAAGGATGAAATTATGGTGGTGAAGATTCTGATGACGTTGTGGTTTATTGGTTCATTCACCAGTTTACAAATTATATCAATTAAATGTTGATACGTGTCTTAGTCTCAAACTTAATAGTAGTTTTTTTTTTTTTTTTAGCAATCAAGATATTTTCAGGCTAATTTTTCTAAATCAAAACTAATTTATATTTCAGTTGAGTTTTGAAAAAATTATCAACATTTAAATAAATAAAATCACTAGAAATTTTAAATATTTTTTGCTACACCTCTTCCCAGAATGCTAAGCATATAGAATCCATTCACCACCCAATCCATCCAACAAGAAACTAGTTTGGCAATGGATCTCTCTTTGTAAATTGTCACCCTCGGTGGGGCAGTGTAGTAGCTGTTGCAGGATGGGGCATTTTCAGCTCTTTGTGTGTATGCTATAAGCCAGCTGCGTATATGATGTGAGGCCAAGACACCAGACAGCTAGTGCATGCCATGGATTTTCAAGAACTAGGGTGCTTGTCGGTAGGGATGACGAGGTTGTTAATTTTGTGCTGGTTGTCCATGCAACATAAGTAGCAATTATTTAAGGATTGTTTTTTTTTTTTTTTGCTACACCGTACAAGTATCTCATGAATTATTGATGTCTTTGATTGATATTTGTTGAATTTCTATTATTTTAATTAAAGCGTATATATTTTGATTGGCACACTTTCCGTCCATTTTTTTTTAAATTAAACATGATATGTTAGTCATGCGTTTTCTTTTAAAAATACGAATCAGTCATTAGAAAGTTATAAAACTATCAAGGATTAATTTCTCGAGAATAATTTTATAGTATTATAAACAACGTTTTTATCACTATGTTAATATAGGTAAATTTTTTAATGGTTTTTTACCAATTTTTATGATGTTTTGATATTTTATAAAGAAATATGTACAATTTATATTCCATCTACAGAATAAGTCATTAGATTGATTTATATGCCACTTTTCTCAGTTTTCTCAACAAGCAGAATTTTAGCATGAAACTAAAGAAGACCATGTTAATCAAGCATATGAAAAAAAAGGATTCTTTTTTCTTATTTTATATGAAATGCTTTTCTAATATTCAGATTATCATTAATAAATTGTTTTAAAATATATTTATTATCAAATAAATATAAGGAAGCAGCGATATTATTTTGAAAGGTCCAATCAGATGGGAAAATTGAATAGAGTTAAGAAAATCAGGACCAACAGCTCAGGGCCACCAAGGAAACGAACGGACAGTATTTTATGCATTAGGAAAAATAATTTTGGTGACCGAGCACCACAACAGAAACGAACCCACCCAAGACAGCATCATCAATCCTATTAAATAACACAACTCCTTTTGGCCCCACCTGAAATAATTTCCATCGACAGATCGAAAACGACAACTAACCCTTTGCTGGTGCACCCGCAAACGCCGTTATCCCTAAAACAGGCACCTAGTTTTCGTGATTGGATAAAAGAAAGGAAAGGACAGCTACAAATGAATCCACAACTATATTGCATTTCACGTGTCAGTCCCCAATCCTTGAATTTCTTCTAGATTTGGCTCAACATCTCCAAAGGCTTGCTACTATTGTTTATTGAGTTTTGCGTTCCTTTTTTTAAACTTAATTGAGATTTTTTTTTCCGTGTATTATTGACTCTTTCTGCCCTTTATTTTGTTTTATTTTTAGTTTTTTATTATAATACTATTAATTCGTGAATTGATGTGGTATATTTATATCCGAATATATGACATGTGTCATACGTAGAACTCGTAATAGAAAAATTCAATTAAAACAATACAAATAGTACATAGACTTAATCAATGTAATTCAAAAACTACATAAATCAAATTATTATTATTTTTTTTAAATTCACATGTCATTGTTTTTTTTTTAGAAAAAAATTCGTCATAGATTCACCAATTGTGTTATTTATAAGATCCAATCACCGAAAAACTATAATTTTTTTTTCTTACAAAAAATTATTATAATCGATTAATAATAATAAAATAATATGTAAAAAAACAAACATGCAATTATTAAAATATAAATATGATGATGTACAATATTAATTCATTACTAATTCTTAGTTAATGGGTCTAATACTTCATAAAAAAATAATTTTTTTGAATATTTGACAAATTCAAAGTGAAAAATAGAATTACTTTCTAAAAACAACTAAGAACTACATTACATTTTCTTTTTTGATATAGATAATTAGCTACTAATCATCATTACTACTCGTTTCCATTTTAATTTTGATGAATACATTTGTATTTTATATTTTTTTAGTTGCATGTTAAGTTCGTTTTGTATGTATTTTATTATTTTTAAATTATTATAATAATTTTAAAAAATAATCTTTATAGTCTTAGAATGTTTCAAACATGACACATTTCATGACATTCAAGATGATGACTTAAAAAAAAATAGTATCATAAAAATTTAAAAAGAGAAAACAACAATTTGATCTTACTACTCGATGAGTTGTATTGATTGAGTTTATGGATTCTTCAAATTGTTTTGATTGAATTTTTTAACAAGATCTCATGTATGAACACTATCATGTATTCGAAGTAGACATTTTATGTCATTTTACAAACTAACGAAGTTATACAAGAAGAAAAAAACAAGCCAAAATAAAAAGAATAAAAAACTCAATCAATACAAAAAATAACACAAAATCTCAATCAAAATAATTTAAAAAATACAAGTACTATATATTGACAAAACTCATTATCTATTTATAAACTTTTACCACTTATTAAAGACTATATTAACTAAATACATCGGACACATAAAAAAAAAGATTTTTCTTTCTTTTTATATTCTTCAAAGATAGAAAACTAATATTCTTTATACTTTTTATAACCTTTAACTTAAAAACTTTAGAGAACTTTTTTGTTACATAAAAAAAGACAATTTTTTTAAATTGACATTACAAGATAATCTTTTTTTATTTCACAACTTTAAGCAACACAACTTCAATAAATTCTGCATTTTAATAACTACTTTGTTAAAATATCTCATCTATTTTGACATGAAATCATGAAAAAAAAAAAAAAAAAGAGAGAGAGAAGAAAAGAAATCTTTTATCAACCATAATAGAGACAAATGTAGAGAAAAATTAAAGATGGGGGAGTGACTTATCATGCACATAATAACTTGTAGACTGATTTATAATTGTCCAAAAAAGGAAGGGGTTTTGCTTTCTCATGCTTTGCTGTTATCGTGTCCGTTAAGTTTAGAAGATAACCCCGTCAATTAGACCAAAGACCCAGTCATGGTCAGCTCTACCGCACCACTCAAACCAGGCGGCCTTAACAAATATTCAACAAAATGAAGTGAACTTATGTTACGCGTAAAAATAAGGTAATAATAGAGAAGGCCGGTGGGAAACTCTCCTTTAGCCCCTACCCAACCCCACCTTTTACTCATTTTCTTCCCTATATAATACCAATACAACTCTCCGCTCTCCTTCACAACCACGTCTTTTTATCTTCCAAACCTCTCTTCCTTATCCTCTTTTCCCTTCTTTTCTTTTTCTTTCTTTCTTTCCATGTTAGAGAAGAAAGAAAGAGAAATTAGACGAATATAACAACAATAACAAGATTCTTGCAATTTTTCTATCTCTTCTTTCTTTCTTGTCTAGTTAAGGTATTATTGTTGTTTATTAATATGGGGACTGAGGTTTTAAGGCCACAAGACTGTCTGATTGAAAGAATCAGAGTTCCTCCGTGTCATCGGAGAAATTATTATCATGGAAACGGAAACGGAAACTTTTCTAACCCTAACTTTTATAGCTCTAACAACTACAGCAACCCTAGGTTTAATAGAAAACCAGCACAGGTTCGGTCGGAGAGATCGGACCAGAGAAAGAAACAATCAGAGCCGTCGATTTCGAAGAAATCAGGCTCTGTTGATGATTTCAAAATTTCCAGAAACAACAACAACAAAGTGATGGAGAAAGTGACGATTTTACGACGGGGAGAGTCGCTAGATTCGAAGATCAAGAGCAGCGAGACTACATCCTTGAGGAAGTATCAAGGAAATGGTGGTGATTTTGTTGTTACTAGCACAGAGCAATTGGGTCCGGACCCCAAAATGGTTCCAAAACATATCAGGATCGTGAATTTGGGGTCTCCGGTGGCCGGTAATTGTGATATGTACGCCGGATCGGCTTTTTCAGTGTCTCCGGCGCCGAGTTCGCTTCCTCTGCCATCGTTTTCGAAGAAGAAGCAAGTTTCGATTGATGACTCAGCCACAAGAGACCTCAGGCGTTTGCTTCGACTCGATTTTTGAGTCCGAACAACATTTTCGGTTCGGATTGAGATTCGGATTCGGATGATCTTTCTATGTTAAGTTCTCTCTAGCCTCTCCGTTTCGTCTTTGTTATGTTTCCCTTGGTTTCTGAAGATTGGATCCTCCCGTGAGTTTTTAAAGAAATGGGGGGCGGATCTGAAGATAAGGGAAAATATGGGGGCGAATTAGTTAAATTTGTGGTGGGTTTTTATGTAATATTGGGTTAAATCCTGGGGCTGTTTGTTTAAATGGGTTGTGTTTATGGGTAACTAGGGAGTTGTCTAGGGTGGAGAAACGAAAAGAAGAAGAAAATGGGAATGGGTGTTGTAATATTTGGAAAGTAGGGGGGTCGTGAAGGGAGAATTAGTGAAAGTTTCTGGAATGGTGTGAAGTCTTTGTGTGAGGCTTGGACTTGCTACTGCTTCTGTATTTTATGTAAATCAAATCAAGCTGATGAAAATGTTCGGACGGACCTTAGAATACTGTTCGGACCTCCTGCTTGATGATCTTCTGTATTAATAATGAATTATTCTCGAATCTGTGTCTTTCTAGCATGTTCAAGAATAATGATTGATCATAAAAACAAGTTTTTTCTTGTGCTTTCCACCTCGAAGAATTATAATTGATCGTAAAAAATTTTGAAGTATGAAAGAATTTGTGTTTTGCTGCCATTTTTTATTTTCAGGCTTCAATAATCTTTTGATTTTGTTCTTATTATTGATTTCAAATTCACTATGACACTACTTTTGTGAAAGATGGAAAATATTTAGTTGTAAATAATTTCCAAAGAAGTTTCCCTTCGTATTGAGAATTTGAGTGTGTGAATCAATTTTCTCACGGTCATTTCGTTTATCCTCTGTTAAGAGGAATGCTGCAGGCAGTTTACCTAAGCGTGTGGACAGGGCAATCTAGACCGTCCGTCCACCATAATTGGGTCACCACATGATGGACTAAGATAGTCTTCACACTTTCCCAGAACCACCTACGAAAAATCATCAATTTTTTTTTGTTGTGTTTTTGTCTTTTTGTTTTTGAGTTGTAAAGAAGAGATTGAAATTGAATCTCACTAACGTTGGTTAAACTACAATTTATTAGCATTAACTTAGTATTTCAAATTTTAAAATTCTTAACCCTCTGTTATAGTTTGTGAATTTTGGTTGTTAAATGGTTTTCAAAACAGTTTTTAAAATTTAACCAAATAGTACTCTTTTTCTTTTTTGGCCCCCACCCTTGGCTTTTAAGAAAAAGGTATCAGAATCTAAAACAAAACATACCAAACTGGTTGGAATCATTTTTTTATGTTATGGTGCAGCTGCTTGGATGACTCTTCTTTTCTCTCTCTTTTTCTTTCTCGGCAAGAGTGATTAATAGAAGTGAACGTTTCAGTATTTTCCTAGAAATTATCTCTCAGGACTCCATTTTTTTTCTTTTTGGAGAACATGCGCTTGCTGGGTATCTGGTGTTGTGGTCCTCCTCAATATACAGTGTTGTGCACAGTTAGCCATGACACAGGAATCTGGTCCAGTTTTGGCAATGTGGGCTCTCCAATACACTGATGGTATAAAACTGACACAGGGGCCATCAATGCTATTATAGTTTTAAATTTATTTATGAAAATAAAGTATTTATGCCATGTCATTGACATATCATTTAAAAAAAAAAAAAAATCATGTTCTCTACTGGCCCTTTTATTTTTTGTCCTGTTAATTCTCAACTTTCTCAATTCTCTCTCCAACTCTCTCCACTATCTTTTTAATTAACATTTACTACAGTTGGCTCGCCAACTTCTGATCTTGTTCATCTTTGAACACTATAGTGTCCCATGAAAATGGGCATGCTTTTCTAAAATCAAAGCTGCGTTATAAACCTTCCCTAGTACAGATGACATATCAATTTGTGTCAAACCCCGAAGGTTTGCTTGTGATTTTCCTAATCTAAATAATCCTCCTATTCACATCAAACAAAATTTAGTTTGTTATACCCATTCTTTTTTAGTATGTATACCACATTATTTGGTGGGAATTAGTGAATAGCCATGGTGTAAACAACTTATATAAGTTTGTATGTCATATCTACAAATGGATTTTTTATTGAACACATTATAGACACTCCATTTCTTATAGCAATACAACAGAACAAAAAACAAATCTTTGAACCAAAAACATCTAGAGTAAAACAAGATTAAAGCTCACAGTCAAAATAAGGAAGATGCCCATCATAAACCAATCACGTATCTTTTGCTAACAAAAGCCAAAATAAAATAAATTTATCAAAATAAAATAAAATAAATAAAAGCAAAATAATTTAGAAAGTACTTTGATTGGTAAAAGCACTGCAATGACTGGTTTATAGATATAAATGAATTTTTGGATACAATTTATGAAGCTGGAGGACAATTGTTGTTCGTATTAATTAGAAAAGAGAATTGAGAGAGTTGGAAGGGAGAGTTGGAAAGCATGCCATATCAAAAAAATATGAAATCTTCTCTTAACCATTCAACATATGTCAAAGCATCTCTTTTGATGGTATACTATCTATTCAAGGATGAAGAAGATCGAAAGTTAAAATTAAGATAACAAGGATTTTTTATATATAGATGGGCCAATTTTAGTTAGTGTTAGTAAAAAAGATAGCAGAGAGAATTGTAGAGAGAAAGGTAGCGAAGAACATGATTAAAAAAATAATAATAACTCGACTTGTCAATGACATGGCATAAGTACCATATTTTTACAAATAAGTTTAAAAATACCCCGTTGTAGTAAATAAGATTTTAAAGTGACTCGATCCGGCAAAAAACTCGTCCTTTATCCCTTCGAGTGCTCTAATGGGGTTTTTTCACAACTTTGTCTCTTAAAAGCAAGTGAAGGAGAAAGGATAAGAAGAATCTCGTGGTCCGTTTGTTTGTTAGAAAACAAATTCCTTTTGAAAACTTAATCTCACGAAAAACAAATTATTTTTCAATAGTTGGTCGTACTATAAAAAATAAGTTTTCATTATTTAATGTACATCGAAAATAACTTTGTTTACTATATATTCGAGTGTACATATGGTTATTGTTTAATAAAAGATATTATATTGAAGTGTATTTTCTAGCAATATAATATATAATATGCATTGATATCTTTTATATTAATACAAGAGGAGGTGAGAGAAATTCCTCATTTTTATAGCGATGGCCAATTCATTTTGTTGTAGTAAATACAATTCTTTTTTTACTCGCTAACTCGTTAACTACTAATGTTAATCTTCTAACGTCTAATAACCGAATGGGCTATAGGATCCCTATCTATGGCATAAAAAAATCTCTAATATGTTTTTTAAAACTATTTTATATGTATTTTCAATCCTATAATGTTGAGTTGCATTTCTATGTGAAGATCAAGTCACAACCTCAAAGCCAGGAATTAAGATTTTCTTGAATATTTATGATATGGAACAATTGGGTATATACTTCGTATATTGATTCTTGTCAAAAAAAGAAGCCACATGTCTATTGAAATGAGATTTACGAAGAGAAGAAATTGGCGTATGAACGATCCAAATGCCTAAGAAAAATATCCAATTCGGAATTGCTAGATAAAAGGCTAACATCAAGATGAATCAATGCTTCCCTAATTGTCGGGGCATTGGGTTTTGAATTTTAGTTAAAAATATTAGAGCACCAATCAAATGATTTGGCTAACAACACAACATAGAGCAATAATCAAAACACATAAGAATAGCGCCACCTAGGGTTTTCCATAGGGCTAAGGCATTAGTTGTGCCACTAACGGACCATGCTCAACTAATAAAAAATCATGCAATTACTGGCGATTAACTATGTGATCATAACGACAATACAATCATGATAACGATAACAAAGACTACTTTAGCATTCTCTTTACATAAGAAAAATCATACCCAAACATTCATTGTGAATGATGTATATGATTTGAATTTTATAAGCCAATAATATATTTAGTCCCTTAGGTTTTTTCTTTATAGGTATGAGATATTTATACCTCCTTATATCTTTGTTTACGAAATAGAGTAAAAAAACAAAGACTTTGTATTGAGTCTCTAGGGTTCTCGTATTCTCTTGCTATCAAGCTAATAAAAAAAACTTCTCTTTCGTCCGTAAAATAGGCAATTTGTTGAATCATGTAAATTCCGTGGGTTGATAATTTATTTATTTTATTTTTTGATTAATAACTACCATTACTTATCTTATTTTCGTTGTTTGTTACAACAAACCGGTATTAGAGCATATATTGCGCATCTTTGAGTTTTTTTATTCGTAACAACAACTCAAAAATTTGATGTTACATCTTTTAATGGTCAAAATAATTTTGGCTTATGAAGGATTAAGATGAAAGCTTTATAATGACATGAAGGTTCCGTCAAGGCCATAGATAGGATATACCCGAGATGACATGATTTTTTTCAAAATTGAAGAGATGGATGAGAAGACTCATAATGCTCTACAATTATCATTGTCGATAAGGTACTACGAGAAGTCACAAATGAAAAGACGACGGTGGGACTATGGAAGAAGTTAAAAAGCCTCTATATGTAGAAATCTCTTACAACAATACTATATTTGAAGCAATGTTTTTATACATTAAAGATGCGAGAAGGTACATCTATCCAAGAACACCTTGATGAATTCGATAAGGTTGTTATAGATATGAAAAATTTTGATATTAAAATAGATGAGAAAGATCAAGCTCTTATTGTATTGCATTTAATACTTGCTTCGTATGAGAATTTTGTTAATTCAATGTTATATGGTAGAGAGTCCATAACTTTAGAGGATATTAAGGCCTTTTTGAATTCTATTGAGTTGAGATATGAACTGAATGGTAAAACTATTAATAGTTAGGTCGATGGTTTGCTACTAAAGAAAAAACAGAAGGATAAAGAGGGTTATAAAGAAAATTCAAATTTTGTTCTAAGTCTAGATCACTCTAGAATAAGAAGAAAAATGTTGAGTGTTACTATCATCATAAGAAAGGACATTA